ACCAAAATTTGCTTCGTTTGGACGGACACGCCGCCGGAGCCAAGGACTGTGCACGTTTCCGTACTCCATCTCATGACAAAAAAAAGCACCAAAAATAAGGATCAACCGAGATTCCCCATCGTATCACAGTTTGATATTGCGCATCTCCGTCATCGCAGTTGGTGAATGTGTCGATCCGTCATAGGAACAAAGAAGTTGGCACGAATAATCAAGTTCAGAGTTGTAAGATATCACACCTGGTTGCTTATCATGACAATTAAGAGCAACCATTACATGTCTCAAACTTGGCGTATCATAGGACAAAGGTTCATGGCCAAACATTAGCAACGCGTTTCACGCAGACAAGTTGGTTGATGGTCGATATGCACCATTGCTGCACATTGGCGATCATACCGCCAGACCAGGTCAATTGATTGTGTTCATAATCGCAGCCCCAAGTTGCAGGACACGATCAACGCTCCGAAAGGGTTGGATAAGAGAAGATGAAGATGGAAAGACAACACCAAGGTCAGGGGCAGGGTTCAGGGGACTAATCAGGTGGGTCAAACATGGAATGAGGATCGGGGCCATGCGGGCAAAAAAAAGCATCATCTTGGGACCAATGGCTTGGGCCCGAATGTTGACCCGCCTCGATGCTCAGCTTTTTATGGCGATTCCTCGTATTCACCTGGAAACGAGGCGATTTCTCACCCCTTCTTGACCTCCTACTGTCCTCTACCCTTCCCCTCCAACCTGTCAATTGATATGACATACTTCCCATGGGTCTCAGGAGCTTTTTAAAGAATACGAAGGGCAGGACGATGGGCTCATACGGAGACAATCGCACAATGCTCCTCTTATAACAAGCCTGGCCATCTGCCGTTACATCCACAGTGACATCACAAAGCTCATGAAGCTCCGTATCCTAGCGGCGTATGAACGGGTTGATGAGGCGCCGCCGTCTGAGCAACGGAAGGACAGGTACCAGGGGGGTCAACGGATGTGGTAACGGTGGCCCCATCGACAAAAATATTCGTGCAACCGTTTACATGGTGATGGAGTTGAATGAATGAACGCCTGTGCAGCAAGAACCAAGAACCAAGACCTAACCATACCAAAGGTGGTATATCGGAATTGTGACAACCGGCTTCTGTTGATGGCCCAGCCTGTATGGCCAATAATTACTAAACAATGGCTGAAACTGTTATTAAGTTTCTATAGCAATTGGACGTTCCAAGAATGAGCTGTTGTGCCCTTGTTATCAGACAGTCAGTGCCTCAGCTCAATCTCTGGTCAACTTCAGGTCAAGCAGTCACTACGCCTCATGTCTTGGACTGACCTCCACTGTGTTTACTGACAAGAAATGAGGGCTACACAGGCAGACAGGCCTTGTTGAGCCGCCCTTGGGCACCCAAACTCCACCAAAGCCCATCCCTTCCAGGCTCCCCGGGCGCTCCCCGGGCTGCTCAGAGCTCAACCCGCCCTTCCCTCTGGTCTCTACGACTGGGTTTGTAGTAGGCGGAGGGTGTGGCCGGCCGCCGGCTGAACTTGGCGGGACGACAGAAGCGCTAGACGAGGCCTAGCTTTTTGCCTAGTGCCCGGGTGGCTGTCGTTGAAAACTGCAAGCGGCTCCCCCCAAGCCTAAAAAAGAAACACCCATAGCGATTTTTGTCTAGATCTCCAACAACCTTTGGCCTTTGCCACTCAGCAGACAAAAACAAAAGTCACTGCAGCAAATAAGAAAACATCCTAGACAGCTTACTTGGGCCATTGTGATAGTTGTCTGCAGCTCAGCCTCCTCTTGCCAAGACCAGTCTAGGTCTCGGGGCTTTAGCAGGACAGAACAGATCCCCTCATCTGGTCTACTGTACCCACGATTTACCACCACAGGCTGCATTTAACACCCAAACTCTCCTCTTCCTCGCCCTGAAGTTGAGTTCAATCTCGCAGTTGGCTTGACGTGACGGACTCAGCTCGTGTAACACCCATCGCTCACTCCACTGCCTCCACTTCCTCCACTCCCTCGCTAACACTCCGCAACGCCTCGGTCGACTGTCGATTGCTTACAGTACCGTACAGTACCGGCAGGCGGCACACCATTCGCTTTCTTGGTCCCTTTTGCTTCTCTCATCCTCACATCACCAGCTGTGTCTCCATTCATAGAACCGAGCAGACTCCTCTCTCGTACGCTAGAGCCACCTCCTGTCTGCTTGGCACACGACACTCTTCATCATCGATAAAGGGAATCACTCACCCCTCTGGCCGGCTGTCGTCTGCACGTTGTTGAACCCTAGCTTGCTTGCTGCACTGTCTTCACCACTCACCGTCTGGGATCTCGCCTCCTCAACCTCACCACCTGCTCTCAGCCAGTCGTCTCTCGTACCGTCCCCAAATAGCAAACCCAAAAAAAGCTGCCATCTGTCTTGGGTCCGCAATTCTGGACTATTCTCAGCCGCTAAACGTCCTCTGCATATCCGTCTCCAGTCTTCTTCAGGCCTGATATCACCCTGCTCAACTTACAAAACTCAACCTTCTCCCTTCCTCCAAACCTCCTCACTCACTTCTACATCATGGCATCTGTAGACATCAAGAACGACTACAGCATGGAGGCAGGATTGTTGAGCACTGACCGAGAAGAGAGGACCATGTCGTCAAAGGAAGCACTACTCCAGGATTCGGAATCTGCCCAGACCATCCCAAGGACAAACACCAGAAGGATATCCCCAGCTGGCAAGGCCTTGATTGCTTTGGCCGCTTGCTGTCTTCTGGGCGCCGGTGTAGCATCCATTGGAGGCGCTACCCGATTCTGCCCTGGGCATCTCCGTCATAGTGATGTTGGAAAGCATGGCATGAACGCTCATCGACCAAATCTTTCCGATTCCATGGCCCAGATGGTTCGACGACAAAACACACCTACCGATACAGCGCAGGGTACTGACCCTACCGATGCCGCTTCTGATGGCGCTTCCAATGCTCCCTCGGGCGGCTCTTCAGGTGGAGCCTCTGGTGGTGCTTCAAACACCGTGCAGCAACCCACTGCTACGGCTGATGAACCCACGAACGAGGCTAGCGAGACTGCTGTTCAGCCTTCCGCTACCGCCGGAGAGCCAACCGACCAGGCCAGCGCCACAGATGAGGCCTCAAACACCCAGGCCCAACCGTCTGTTACTCAGCCATCTGCCACCAGTGAGCCTTCCTCACCCTCGCGCCCTGCGAGCTCAGAACCTGAGGAACCCACCTCTAACCCGGATACAGACCGACCTTCTGCCACTGCCCAACCTACCGAGGACTCAGCTACTGAAGCATCTCCTTCTGCCACGGAATCCCAAGAGGAGCCTACTCAGCCTGCATCTTCAGCCGCTTCTACACAGCGAACCACCCGCAGGACCACGGAGAACCGACCCTCGTCCACTGAGGACTCCTCCCCTGAATCGACCACCGATGATTCCGAGGCCACTGCCACTGGTACGTCCGTTTCGGAAGAGGAACCTTCTGAGACTGTTCCCTCTTCTCGTGCTTCAACTTCCAATCCTTCTGCTCCTAGTGCTGCAACCTCCACTGCTGCCAGTACGTCTACTCGAAGAACTTCTTTGCCTGATACCTCCTCTTTTTCTGAATTACCGTCCGAGACGGCTTCTTCGGGTGAGACCCTTCAATCCACCGCCCTTGATGATACTTCCACTGTTATCGAAACTGCCACCGTTCCCTCGTCCACTGTCGCCGAAGCTACCACTGTCCTCCCCGATTCAACTTCTGAGTCAGCTTCAGGGCCAACTCAAGAGTCGGAAACAGCCTCCCAGGCTTCAGAGGAGACAGAGACGACTACTGGTATGTGGGACGGACGAGCAGCAACAGGTCTCTTTCCAGGGACACTGCTGCGAATCCAACTCCCCAACCTGTTGTGATATTACTGTTTCGTGCCATCTCCACAACCTGATGCCTTGACTTCGTGACTTTCGCAAGTGCGCCAAAACTTGAAAATGCCGTTTGACCATTGATTGCCTCTGCGTTGACTACACACTTTTGCAAACGATTACCATTTGAGCGTATATGCTAACATCGAGACAGACCAGGAAACCGCAAGTCAGACAGACGAGGCTTCACGAACCTCAGAAGACGCCGAAAGCGCGACTGAGACCAAGTCTGCACGAAGCACTGTGACTGGAACAGGTACCAGACGAACTTCGAGTGCAGTGCCAAAGACCTTCACTTCTACGCTTGAAGATGGTGGTATTACAACCCTGACTTCGACTTCTTGGGTTGAGGTTGTCCCCTCAGCCGAAAATACTGCTGGCAGCGACCCTGACCTTCAGAACGCTGCTCCTCGATCCGCCGGTTCAGTTCTTGCCGCAGCCGTGGGTATGGTCTTTGGTGGTTTCATTCTCCTGTAAATGGATTATTGACACATCGACCTCACCTTGCACCGAGCGAAAATGTCACGTGGATCCCGTGGCGAACGAACTTGCGGTCCCATTGCGGCCACCAGTTTCTTCAGAATGGATTCATCCTTACGAATATCACGGTCCTTTCTTCATAGGTATAAAATCAGGATAATAGACTTGGGGGAAGCATCAGACGGGATTAATCAATAGACAAGAACTTCCACATACGGTTGTATCTTGGGGGAGATTTGGTTCATTAATGGCGTCCAGCATATATGCCGAACATGGATCGTATTTAAAATGCATAGTACATGAGCGAATACAAGCATTTGAGTTTGCATATTCCATTTTCTTTTCCCCCTTTCAAGCAAATTGACGTAAGAACAGAGGGAATCATCTAGTGCATAGTGGTCGTAACCTTTACTCTCTGATACAGGGCCTTCGTGTTTTCATCCCAGCAAGGGGTGAACATTAGGCGCGTTCAGGTATGACCGACTGTGATAATGCCGTAGATCAATGCAAAAGGTGTAATTTGTGGTAATAGTTGTTTAATTCGAGGGTATAACCAAAAGCGCCAACAACTCCAATCCATCCGCCTACACATATTTGCCACCAACTTAACCTCCTGTTCTGACGTCCTTAGCCAGGGCCAATCCTGGGCATATCGTGATGCTCGCTCAATCTCGACAAGTAAGTATTGAGTTCTTCGACACGCTCCTTATGTGTTTTGAGAAGTTCCGGTCGCGAGCTTGAAGACTCGGCGAGTTTGAGCAGCTATAGAGTTGTTAGCATGATTTCAACAATAGTAGGCAATGAAAGACTTGCCCTCTTCTTTTTTATCTCTTCGTGGCGCTTTTGAGCCTCCGTCTTTTGAACTTCGGGTTTGTCCTCATCATCCTCATCGTGGGGCTCTTGCTCCTCTCCATCCTCACTCTTCTTCTTCTTTCTCTTCTCTTCGTCCTTGTTTCCAGTATCGAGGTTCTTTTCAAGATCGGTCTTATCGCGCTTCTTCTTTTTCTTGTGTATTTTGGCGCCCTTGAGTTTCAGGGCGCCGCCGCCACCGACAGCAGCATAATCGTCGGAGCCCATGGTGTTATGGTGCTTTCGGAAGGGTTGTTGGAAAGGTGATGATGATGGACTCGACGTTAATGGTAAGGGAAGTGTGACTAATCAACATATGGCGGTGCAAGTGGCTGGGTTCCACCGAATAGAGCAAGGGGGTTGGGCTAGAGTGGTAATGTGTTTCTGATCTATACGCGGAAGGGAAAAGCGAAGCAGCACTTGCATTGACAAAGAAGCTTCCTTGTGATGAGTTGGGTAAAGCCGACTCCTATCTTTTCAACTTGGCCCTCTTTCTTTGTCCTGTTCCACTATAACGAAGCAAACATTGCCCCTTTTTGGTATTGAATGAAGAAGAGAGTTCATGAGCAATCAATCAATCAATTTATTGACGAATACGAATACTTTCTTAATTGTGCTTTTATACCCCATCTTTTTAACCTCGACCCTTCAAAAAGGCTTCAAAACAACTACCGACCACTCAGATCTCTACGTCACAGATCTTGCTTCCTCACATCCTTCGGCGCCGATCGCTCAACACTATTCATTCTAAGTTTGCGCGACAACGAACTGCGATGCGCATTAGTCTTTAACAGCTGGTATACTCGAATTGAATACTCTCGGTTCCTCGATTTTGGCGGATTGGTCGATTAACTAGTCGCTGGGAAGAGGGGGAAAGGACAACTACACAGACACCACAATGGCGCGGCCCTACGGACTCCCGTCGAATACGAGAGACTCGCTGGAGCTCGCTTCCTTAGCCAGCTCAAGTCAGCTCAACGAAGAGGGGGCTACAGAGATCTCGTCAAGGCCCAGCATATCGTCGTCGCGGAGACTGTCACTCGAACAAGATGACCCCCTCGACAGTGCCAATCCTGCAAACAGGATGAACCGATCGTACTCAGTGTCCTCAGCTTTTGACTTCTCCGCCAATATGTTCCCTTTAAGCTCTACGGCTGGTGCCGAAGGTTACGCTCCCATTGGAGCACCAACATCAAGATCGAGGCCGAGCGGCGGCTTGGGAGGAGGATCGTTGGAGAAAAACAAGACTTTGACATACTTGAACGGATTGTCGCTGATAGTGGGACTTATTATCGGCTCAGGAATCTTCTCGTCGCCGGGATCTGTGAGCACAAGAGTTGGGTCGCCTGGTGCAGCGATCCTCGTCTGGATTATCGCCGGTATACTCGCTTGGACAGGCGCTGCATCGTACGCTGAGCTTGGAGGAGCGATTCCCCTCAATGGCGGCGCTCAAGTTTACTTGGCCAAGACATTTGGTGAGGTGATAGGCTTCCTCTTTACATGGGTTGCCATGTTGGTTCTTAAGCCCGGTAGTGCCGCTATCATCGCCATTATCATGGGCGAATACTTTGTTCGAGCCTTCATCGGTCCTGACGCTGAGCATGTAAGCCCTTGGATCAACAAGGCTGTTGCGCTTGTAGGGCTGTTCATTGTAACGTTCTTGAACTGTGTGTCTACAAAGCTCGGCACACGTGTCAACGATACGCTCATGTTTATGAAATTTATCGCTTTGCTGGGCGTCACCGTCACTGGTGTTGTTGTTGCCATCACAGGAAAGACCCTCAAGGGCAAGTCGGAAGTTGAGTGGAAGCCGCATCAGCTTTTTGAAAACACATCGACCGACATGTCTGCTTGGGCTCTCGCCCTTTATGCCGGTCTTTGGGCATATGATGGCTGGGACAATGTGAGTTGTAATGATCAAGTTTACAAGGCTAGATAACTAATATAGTCCAGACAAATTACGTCGTTGGGGAGTTCAAGAACCCAACCAAAGACCTACCTCGAGTCATCCACACAGCCATGCCTCTGGTCATCCTCTGTTATGTGCTAGCAAACATAGCCTACTTCCTTGTCCTTCCTCTCGAGAGCATGGATGGGTCCAACACAGTAGCTGTCATGTTTGGCAACCGAGTGTTTGGTTCTGTAGGCTCACTTATTCTCGCGCTCATCGTTAGCGCTAGTTGTTTCGGTGCCCTCAACTCTTCGACTTTCACCTCTAGTCGTTTGGCATATGTGGCTGGGAAAGAGGGCTACATTCCTTCGATCTTTGGCACTATTGGTATTGGGGGCAGCCCGCACGAGCATGAGCTCAGCACACAGCGTACCCGAAGCTGGTTCACGCGTAAGATGCGCAGAATGTTCGGCGATGAAGATGCTGGATTGTTTTATACGCCAGTCTATGCCCTAATTCTCAACGCTGTTCTTACAGTTGGTTACGTGGTCGTTGGCGAGTTCAGCACTCTCGTCACCTTTTATGGCGTTGCAGGCTACACATTCTATTTCCTCACAGTCCTGGGTCTGATCATCCTGCGCGTGCGAGAGCCGGGACTGGCACGACCATACAAGACCTGGATCACGACGCCTATTATTTTTTGCTGCGTTAGTCTCTTCCTCCTCAGCCGCGCTGTCTTTGCACAGCCTTTCCAGACTATCGCCGTCGTGTTCTTCGTGGTAGCTGGTGTACCTGTTTATTTCTGGCGCATTAGAGGGCGAGACGAGCAGGTCTTGAGACGGAGAGGACAGCCCAGCGAGGAAAAGAAGTGGTGGCAATTCTGGAAATGATTGAAAAGTATAGCATGGATTTGGAGTTGGCAGCGAATTCATATCATGAATGGTAAAATCATGGTCAGCCATATAGCGCTTGATGATGGCTCATAACGAAGCATACCAAAAATAGTGAGAAATTCTGTATTAATAGCAAAGTAAAAAGACAACGAACAGCAGCATATTTCTGCTTGGCTTCAGTTTAGCAGCAGTCATTATGAGAGAATGTGTAAAATGTCTGACGACGTGCAGATAGCCCGATGCCTGCTGCATTGGTGATTATAGGAACCAAGAAGGAGAATCAAAAGATAGGACACATGTGATTTATTCTGACAAAGGTGATTCATGTATATGTGTTATATCAACTGTCGCCCTCAGTTTTTCGGCAAGTATTTATCGGATATTGAAAGGTTCATGTCTGTCCCAAATATTTCATGCTATTTGATGGAGATCATCAAGTAAACTCATTGGTAGTTTGATAGATTAACGTAGGCTTTTCACGGCATCTTGTTAGGGTCACTGAAGACAAGACAAAAGGAGGTAGAACTTTAACAAATTGTATTATCTGCAACGCTGATTGCTTTTGACCCGCGTCTATAATGCAGTTGTTGTAAAACTAATCATCATCATGTACAAATCATTTCTTCCATTCTCTCAATACATTTATTTCTTCTCACGCTGACCATAGGCCTTGGTGGCATAGTCACCCTGGTGGACGATAAGATCCTCAGGCTTGTAGTCGTGGCGGCCAGACAGGTAAGAGTCGATGATGGCCTTGGTACCGTTGGCATATCGGATCTGAGCGTCCAGAGAAGTACCGGACATGTGAGGAACCATGGCGTTACCGCCACCCCAGTTGTTCTTGGCGGTTCGTAGAGGGTGCTCCTTGGGAGCGGGCTGGTGGTCCCAGACATCACCACCGTAACCGGCGAGGTGACCAGACTTGAGAGCGGCAGCAACGTCCTCCTTGACGACGATGGCACCACGGGCAGTGTTGACGAGGTAAGAGCCCTTCTTCATCTTGGCGATGAGGTCCTTGTTGAAGAGACCCTTGGTCTTCTCGTGGAGAGGGCAGTTGATGGTGACGATATCACACTGAGCGAGCATCTCCTCGAGGGTGTCGACACGGCGGCAGCCAATCTCCTTCTCCTTCTCGGGAGAAAGGGGTTGGTAATCGAAGTAGAGGAGCTCCTTGCAGTCGAAGGGCTTGAGGCGGCGGAGGACACGCTCACCAATGCGGCCGACAGCGACGGTACCGACAACCTTGCCCTCAAGATCGAACTCCTGCTTGGCAGCGTGGGCAACGTTCCAGTCACCGGCCTCGATCTGCTCGTGGGCAGGGACGAAGTTGCGGACAAGGACAAGGATGGTCATGAGAACGTGCTCAGCAACGGAGACGACGTTGGAGCCAGTGACCTCAGCAACGGTGATACCGCCGTTGGTCTTGTTGGCAGCGTTGAGGTCGACGTGGTCAGAGCCGATACCAGCAGTGACAGCGAGCTTGAGCTTCTTGGCGCGAGCCAGACGCTCGGCAGTCAGGTAACCGGGGTGGAAGGGAGTGGTGATGATGATCTCAGCATCCTCGAGCTCCTTGTCGAAGGTAGAGCCCTCATCGTCCTTGTCGGATGTGGTGACGAGAGTGTGACCTTGGTCCTCGAGCCACTTGCGGATACCGAGCTCGTTCTCAGTGGTACCGAGAAGGAGGGGTTGCTATGAGACATGTTAGTTGCCATGAAATCAATTGGCTGAGGAGAAGTGATTTGAAGAGTGATTGAGGGGTTGATGATGCAGTGTTCAGACATTGGGTGTAAGTTGGGTTGCATTGTTGCTCAGACCCATGCATTGTATACCACAAGAGTGACACAAGCTAAACAATGCCACCCAACTATCACTTCTCGATGTCTTTGCATGTTGCCCAGACGTTGCCCCGCATCATTGGGCTGGATGTGGCTGATTCTCATGTAGTGAGACCATTTCCCCGCGTTTGAGATCGACAAGCGCGGAAGGATGGTGTGTGGAGAGTTGTTTGTGGTTGTCGGTAGATATGAGAGTTGAAGGCAGAATCAACGACCATTGGAGATGGTTGATAGAGAATCAAGAGGAATTGGGTTGAGATAATGAAAGTGGTAAAAGACATACATCCTTGGCGTGCTGGCCACCGTCGTAGAGAACTGCAAGAACCTTGACCTGTTTGATGTGTTAGTTGAGGCTCAAGAGGATATAGAGATGTAGATGGAGAGGAATGCTTACCATTTTGGCGGTTGTGAAAAGGGTTTATTGGTTAGAGGAGGAAATAAGAGAAGAAGGAAGAAAGATGATGATGATGATGATGATGAGAGTGAGGAGGAGAGAAAGTAGGATATCGAGGGTCCAATGCCAGATATTTATGCTCTGGAAATGAACGCGCCATGGCTATGTATCTTGTCACCAAGTAACGGGCACCGGCGTCTGATCGAGCCTGTTAC